ATTCATATAATGCTTTCATTAGTTTACATACATTTTATTCGGCATTTGAGCCAAATCACAATGGGGCTTCTAATTACACCTTCAATGGATTACCATGTAAGAAGGCATTTTTTTATATCAAATTGTTATATTTTTCAGTTCTTGGTACTTGATAATGGTAAACATACTCAATTAGTATTCATTGTTAGACTAATAGTGAAAATTTCAAGCTTATGAATCCCAAATATTTGAGTGTATCTTTTTGCCACTAGTCTGACTTTTATACCATTCAAATGAGCCATCATCAGATTTGATTTTTATGGTAAAGCTCAATCTACAAACTATCAATTTTTTCTTTTTGTTATCATAAAAAACTCTTATATTTTGTTCTTTTGTAGGGTTTTATTTTTCTCCAGTAGTTTTATTTCAATTCTTATAATGTAGAGTCTTAGAAATAGTTCTAGAGATTGAAATAGTATGTAGACTACTAAGGATTGGTGTTGATGAAAAACATTTTTTAAGATAAGAACAAGTTTAAGGGATAGGCATACCGGTTCTCTTAGTGAGTTTAGTGCTTAGGATTGATTTTTTTTTTTTTTTTTTTCTAAATTGGACTTGCACTGATTGTGATTTTTTCTTTTTTGAGTAAACTTCCAATGGCTGAGTAGGTGGTGGTTTTGATATAAGCTTGATCTTTATGTAAGCTGTTGATTTTAGAGTTGAGTTGTTTTTTGGGATGAAGGGTAAGGAAGGGCAATCTTGGTTAAGAATTTATTTATGAATGATATTTTTTCCTTGGTGTTATTAACAACAATGTAGAAATTCTCTTCATTAAAAGTGTTATCAATAGACACATTCTTTTCCTGGAGGGATGATAACATTTATACTTTTTTTGAGTGACATAGTCGTGACAACCAATAAATATATATGATTGCTTTTGGATCGTGCTTTTTTTAAATATGTATTAAGGATCTGCTTGGGCAAATACAAGACTTTCAAATATGTTGGGGACAAGGCTATTTAAGGTCTCGAAGTTTAAGGATAAAATTTGGCCAAGTTTTGAGTAGGACTTATGAACTCAAGGACTTTTGTTGATGATTTGTTTATGTTGTAAGTAGTTGTTAAGACTGCTTTCTATATTATTTCAGAATATTCTTTCAAAAAGGGTGAGCTCTTGTGGTTATATGTACGTGGATCTTCTTGTGTTCCATCACGCCATTTTTTTGAGGAGTTGTATACCCAATAGTACTCCTGCATTTTTCTTTTTTCTTTGAAATGTGAGTGGAGATAATGGTCTAAAAAGTCCTTGACATAGTTAGATCTAGTTCCTTAAATTTTAACATCCAACTAATGTTTAATTTATATTGAAATAGGTAATAAAGGTAGCTAAGCACATACATTATTTTTTACTTTTAATAAAAAGATTCATGACATAAGGTGCTGTTATCAGTAAAGAGCTCAAAACATCGAGCCCTAGATATCTTGGGTGCGGAGCATGTTTCCTAAATGTCACTATATATGAAAGAAAAAGAATTTTAGTTTTTATATTACTTATTGAAAAATTCGTATGTTTGTATTTTGTTAACTCCCAAATTTTAATATTAATTTTTTTTAATGATGAAAAAACTAATTTTTAGAATAACAAAAGAAGGATGGGAAAATGAAAGTGTTGGGACCATGTCTTTTCTTTTTTGATTTAAAGGTTTCTAGAAAGGAAAGATAACACAACATTTATTTTTGGAGCTTTCTTAGTCATTAGATTTCTATTGATGGTAGATATAATCTTATTTAACAAGTCTAATCCTCCTTTTGGTGCTTTGGTGCTGAAATGCATCATGTGAGCTAAAATATAACACTTGTTTTTGAATTTGAGTTAACTTTTGGATATATTGCAAGTTATCAGTAAACAATTTATTTTTGTGGATATTTCAAAGTGCAAGTGATTTATTTTTGCTTGGCTTGCAACAATTATTATGGATCTATTGGCAATGATAGTTCCTTGTTGCTAATACAAAGTGTATGTGAAATAAATTTGTGTGGAGTATGGTGTTATGGTTGTAGCTCTTGAATCAATAATCTAGGAGTTGAAGTGAGCATCTCTAAAACTTTAAAAGTATGAACAGAGAAGATAATAACAAAAAATGCTAAAAAATATTTGCTTGCTGTAAGTGTCTTTTCAGGTTATACAGGCAAGCTTTCCCACTTATCTATTTCTTATTTCTGAAACTTAATTCTTGGTGTTACGTTCTTTCTATTGTGTTATACATTCACGCCTACTATTTTACTTTTTCTCCGAATGTTCAACTTTTATTTGGAGGCTTGCCATTAAACTTCAAACATATTTCTTTTATATGTCAAGTCTTCTTGTAACATATGCATCATATTGAAATTCTATTGGCCATGTTTTTTTGTATGTGGGTGCTTGTGCTTCTTAGAAAAAAGAGAGTTTTGTATCAGAGCGTTTGATGTTGACATCCTTTATCATTAGAGTTAAATTTTTTGGGGGTAATTGACAATCATAACTCCCTCTCTTCATTTCATTTGAATGATATCAATGGCTTTAATTAGATCTGGTAAATTATTGTTTCTAAGAATTTGTACCTTAGTATCATCAAACTCAACATTTAATCAAACAATCATAAATTTGGTCTTTTTCAACAAATATTTTAAAGAGGTTTGCACTTTTACTATGTTCTATTTGAATGCATTGATATTGATCTATATCATATCATAGACTTTATAATGGAATGGAGTATATTGGGGTTGATTGTCTTCATTGCTTTGTGGTTGAAATCTTGGTTTTGATCTCATATATTTGGGCTGTAGGGACAGACGCAGGTAGGGTCCCGAGAGGGCAATTGCCCTCTCCCATTCAAATTTTTACTTATATAGAAGGGCAATATGATCTTTTACCCCTTCTGAAATAGCAGTTTTGCCCCTTCTGAAATACTACTTTGCTCTTCGTTGCTCAAGCCCCTCTCACGTTGGGTTTAGAGGGGACAAACTGTCCCCTCTTAAAAAAGAGGCTGATTCCACTCCTAAAATGGGCTGGCATCATAAATTTTATAATATATTTATTGTATTATATCCCAAATTTTCTTTGTCAAATTCTTTATCAAATGAAGGAATATGCATATGTCACTGTTGACCTCATTTTTGTGAGGTCTTTTCT